AATTTTGTTGTTATTTGGAATGGAAGGTGGAAAGAAGTCCCAGTTTAGGGGGATGATCTGTGGAGTAAATTAATACAGCAGAAAATATAGATATAATTCCCAAATGTAGACGTTCAAAACTCAGATAACTGTCAAACAACACATTATATGTCACATTGACCTTACCACCCATCCTGCTTGAACGAGTACTGCAGCATTCAAAACTTTAATTTGCGTAAAATGTTTCAAGCACTTCAAGATCTGATATCCTTAGCCCTGCGAAAGACTGGCGATCCCCGCCTCTCGCCCTTTGGTAGCTGGGATATGCTCCAGCTCACCCACAACCCTGATAAAGATGGGTGGATGTAGATCTGTTATCTCCGTGTTGGTGTAGTTTCTACATCATCATAACAGTGTTGGTCCAAGATCAACATTGCAGCTGACCAATCTCGTTGTCTAAGCATTCACTTAGCATTAAGTAACTAAGTAAATTTTTATTTATACAGCACATTTCTAGATAAAAGATCACAAAGTGCTTCACAAGGTATAAAACAAAAACAGACAAAGGTTAACAAAATGCAATTCTAAAAAGATGTGTTTTTAGTTGTTTTTTAAAAGTGATCACTGAGTCCACAGATCTTAAGTTCTGAGGAAGAGAGTTCCACAGTCTGGCAGTGGCAAAAGCTCTGTCTCCCTTGGTTTTGAGCCGTATGCTGAATAACAAGAAGGCCCTGATCACATGACCTCAGGGACCTATTAGGGACATAGGGCTGTAAAAGTTCAATGATGTAGGCTGGTGCTTGTCCTTGAAGAGCTTTAAATGTAAGAACCAGTAGCTTAAAATGGTCTCTGAATTCAACGGGGAGCCAGTGCAGCTGTATAAGCAACAGTGTTACATGAGAGTACTTAGGTGTTTTTGTCAGAAGCCTTGCTGCAGCATTTTGGACAATCTGCAGACGCTCCAGGGAGTTTTTGTTTAGACATGTAAACAGTGAATTACAGCGGTCCAATCGCATGAATAACAATCTCCAGTTCAGTATGAGATACTAAAGGGCTCAATTTATAAATGTTTCTTAAATGATAGAAGCAGGATCGAACCAGAGATTTGATGTGGACATCCAGGGTAAGAGCAGAATCAAAGGTTACCCCGAGGTTCCTGATAGACGATTTCACAAATGTTGAAAGAGGACCAAGAGCATTCATTATGTTAGGTACATGTCTGTCTGGAGCACATACAAGGACTTCAGTCTTTTCTTCATTAAGTTGGAGGAAGTTGTCAGCCATCCAACCTTTGATGGATTCTAAGCACTCGTTTAGAATCTGCAGCCTAGAAACATCTTCAGGTTTAAAAGAAATATATAGCTGGATGTCGTCTGCATAGCAGTGGTAGCAAATGTCCTCAAAGGGGCTCAAAATATGCTGGAGAGGAAGTAGATATATTAAAAACAATAAGGGCCCCAGCACAGAACCTCGTGGCACACCATAGGACAGGGACGTGGAAGATGACCTGTACTTAGAGACCGCCACAGAAAAGTATCGTTCATAGAGATACGAGGAAAACCACTCTAAGGCAGACCCAGATACACCAACCCAGTATTTCAGCCTTTCAAGAAAAATGTAATGGTCAATGGTGTCAAAGGCTGACGTGAGGTCCAACATTAGGAGTACAGAACATTTTCCTGCATAGTTTTGCATCAGAATGTCATTGGAAACTCTAAGAAGGGCTGTCTCAGTAGAATGAGCTCTACGAAAGCCAGACTGAAATTTGTCAAATATATTATGTTTGTCTAAAACTGCTGTAAGCTGCTTGGCCACAACCTTCTCTAATATCTTAGCAATTAACGGTATTTTTGAGATTGGTCTCTAATTGCTAGTGAGAGATTGGTCCAGCGTGGGGTTTTTTAACAGGGGGTGTATAGCAGCAGTTTTAAAATAAGCAGGGACTTTACCAGACCCCAGTAAGGTGTTAACTATGGTGAGCACACAGGGACCAGGGACTTACATTACTAATTTTTTCTAGAAAGAAAGAAAGAAATGTTTCACAGTCTTCATTAGAAGAAATAATGGCAGCAGGTGGAGCAGGAGTAATAATATCAGTAATAGTGTCAAATAACACCTTAGGATTATCTCTGCTCTTTGAAACCAGATGAGAAAAATAAGCAGCCCTCGCATCTCTAATTGCATTGCTAAAAGAGGCTAAAAGATCCTTTAAGTAAAGGAGATGTACACATTTAAATGAGTTTTCCTCCACAAGCGCTCAGCTTTACGACAATCACGTTTTATGGAGCGGATATTGTCATTTAGCCAAAAAACAATGGTTATTAAATAGATCTGTTAAAAAATCAACGCCGTTTTGCGGGGATAGAGTTAAATTAAAAGCATCCGAGAAATTCTCCGCTGTGGAGGAAATTATGATGCGCGAGATAATTGTCCGGTGAACAGGAGACAAAGGCTCGTGAAAAGACATGTTAAAAAGAATAAACCAACATGACTAACTCAATTTGTCCATGTGCAAAAGTAACTTGAATAATATATCTATTATATTGATTAAATTAACAAAGAAAGCACTTGAAATGATTACTATTTGTCCCAGAGCTGAGTTTTATAATAACAAAGGTTTTTTTTTTTTCTTTCTTATTTCTCCACATTCCAAAGCCATGACAGCACAACAACATGATTGATCAGTTGCAATTTTGACCCTAGAACAGCACAGTTATACTGCTGCTGGACATCAGATACACCGTGTTTCAGTGAAACATGTTACTGCTGTGTTACTGCTCTCATTAAGCCAGGTTTCAGCAGAAAGCAAAGAATCCATTTTATTGCAGGTAATTGTGTTGTTAAAATAAAGCTGATGACGTGGTAAGCATCATTTGTCATGTAGCTTTTTCCGGAAAGTAAAACAGTATTTACTGACTGCATAAAAATCATAAAAGAAGGAAGAAAGATGACGAGCCTGTTAATTATTCACTCGTAGCACGTCACTCATGTGTCCTTTGTAGGGAGTGGGGCCTGTTTGGGTCAAACATTATCAAAGTCACCGGTGCTGCTTGTGCGCGTGATCTGAGACGACTGCATGGTTTAAGGATCTGTGACTGTAGCCCAGTAGGTTTTTGTGTTTAGACTTTTGAGAAAAGGGCGAAGGTTTAAGAGACATGTTGATGGGTTTAGATTTTATTATTGTCATTTGTATTGGGAAATATTTAACCATATATGCTTAGAGGTGTATAATCGAGTGTGTAGTGATAGGATGTGTGATCTTTAGTAGTCTGCAAAGACTGTGTGTGCATTCCAGAGTGCTCTGGCATTCACACCCACACCCTGGGAGCATGGGAGAGGTCGTACCTTATTTTATTGTTTTATGGTAGGATAAACGTAGCTATGTCAGTTTTAGTCTAAGTGCCTTTTGTTTAGATGAACTGCTGGACTTCCAGACCAGCAGGTTTAGGGAAGTCATTTATGGGGTCACACTCTGACCCCACACACACACACAGACAAGGTATTCTTTGTCCACATGTATAGAGATTGACAGACCACGTGACTTTTGCGCATTGCATGCCGGGAACTCGTGGCAAAACAATCCAAGTACCTGCATCAAATGCAAGCATTCATTCTCCGGTTCCAATACCTTCTTGCTTTTTCTTTGCCCCCCCAAAAAGGTATGTAAAAAAGGAAGGAGAACAATGCCGGTCCGTACAAAGACAGACTTGATGAAAAGTCAAAGAAAGGATACGAGGAAAAAATCAAAGGAGTGAAAGGGTCAGACCCTTACGAGCACACAGAGGGACAAAAGACGTTAGCGTATTGCCCAACTTTCACCACGCTCATATTTATAATTATACGGTTCTTGGAGTGAGTGCATACACTCATGAAGTTTAGTAACTTCAGGTCACTGCAACAAGCCCAGGTACAGTTTACCGACGGATGGGTACAGGACCTTGAAATGCACCGTGAACAAAGGTAAGTTTACCAGTCTCACAAATCGTCTTCATAAATACACATTCGTTAACCGTTTATTAATATAACCTTTGAGCTCAATGGTAATTAATTAGTAGTGGAAATAATTTCTGGTAGCATCACAGAAATGTAGCAGTGACAATAATACTGTAATCGCACTGGGCAATTAGTGATACAAAAAACCTGTTTTATCCTGTGAATAAAAGTATATGTTTTTGTCAATGTACCATAATAACAGAAGCGAAACACAATATTCTGTCAGGACAATTCACTATTTATGCACAATAAACAAAGGAGCATAGCGCGACAATTTCTGTTCAGCGCCAGACTTGCTTGTAACCTATATCACCAATTATGTTATGAAAATGACGCATTAACTACAACAGAAGACTTGCCTTTGTGTAAATGCTTGGAGCAGACTAACCTGTGAGCTGGAGTGTTCTGGGACGTTATATTTGGTCTTTGAATGGCTGCAATCCAGGCCATCCGTTGCCTCTTTGTTACTTCGGAAACATGGCTTGAACAATTTCTTTTCAATGACGTAATCCGATAACAACCGATCTCTTTACCCGTCGGCTTCCCGTGGCTGTCATGCGACTGGCTATTGCAGTTAATAATACAACAGCTTCTTGCCATTTTTTGTGTTTCTTTTTATCGCTGTGTGACTGATTTCAATTGAAAGCCTGCGTGCGCTAGTACCTCTTGCCACGAGTTCCCAGAATCCTTTGCGGTTTTACCCCTGAGTGACGTCACATTTTCAATCTCTATACCTATATGAAACATCATATGTTAATGAACCTATGCATATTCATATAACCACAATAAAAGGAGTGCTATGGGGAACCTGGCTGAGAGTCTGACGGAGGTCAAGTGGGTGGAACGACACTTGGCTCCAGGCAGGTCTCCCTCATGCAGGAGTAACACAAAGAACTTCGCCTACTTGTGTCTTGCTTTCTGCTGTGTAGTAAATTGTCTTGAACGTTCCAGCGAATAGGTTTATGCTACAAACTTATCACGTCTCCACAGTTGAAAAAAGTACAACAGTGCCTTGTGTAGTAGGTGAATGTGAATACTTTTTATTTTAGCACAGGTGAAATTCAACTTGGACAAAGTTATTATAAGTGTGAGTATGTTAAATGATACAGATTTTATCGACCTGGGTAAAATCTTTCCTGATGATATATGCAGTATGCTGACAAAACTCAAAACATCTGATTTAAACATATAATCTAAAGCTATAAAAACTTGCTTAGATTATATGAAACAACTATCTATTGCAGAGCAGTGAACCAAACGAGCATCAGCACTGAGCTATGAAATGCTATAAAAAAGAATGCAGATCACATGCCAGGCTACATTTTCAGATTTCACTTCATGCTGCAGAAACAGAAGTAATATTTTCATATGTGTTTCATCGCTGTAAAACATATACATTTTTTTAAATTATCTTTGTCAGTTTCACTCAACCCACATCAAAAATGGTTGCATCTTATCCACGGATGACCTGGGTTGTGACCACCGTCGAGGCAGCAGGGTATTGGTTTTCCCTGATCTTCAGCTCACGATGCATCTGGCACCAGACACAGTGATAACACCAAAATATTTTGCAGCAGTCATCACAGCACGAGCCCTGCAGGACAGGAAAATTGAAGAGGAAGACGAGAACTTTGTGATATATTTTGAATTTCTAACAATATCCTGTTTAGTCAGCTGACGTCTGAATGTCATGCTTAGGAATGAGAATTGAGAAATGGTGTTCAGTCATTTCAGCATACAAATCAGAGTAACATACAGCATATAGTTCAGTATACAGATGAAATTAAATGATGTTTATTTTCCATCTCTCCATTTTCTTATCCAGGGCTAAGTTGTGGGGGAGCAGCCTAACAAGAGAAGCCCAGACCTCCCTCCCCCCAGCCACTTCTTCAAGCTTGTCTGGGGGAACGCCAAGGCGTTCCCAAGCCAGCCGAAAGATATTATCTCCCCAGCATGTCCTGAGTCTGCCCTCGGTCCTCCTCCCTGTGGGATGTACCCGGAACACCTCACCCAGGAGACGCCCAGGAGGCACCCTTGTGCGATGCCTGAACCACCTCAAATGCTCCTTTCAGTGTGGAGGAGCAGCAATTCTACTTTGAGCTCTTCCCAGATGACCGAACTCCTCAACCTATCTCAAAAGGAGAGGCCAGTCACCCTCCAAAGAAAATTCTTTTGCTCACTACCCACAGCTCGAAAATAACAGGCAGGTTTACAGCATGAATTTGGACATTACTTTTATTTTTATTGCATAAAAAGACGAGAGCATGATGGTAAAGTGGCATCCAGGACAGAAATAACTGTATTATGCTGCTAATACAACTTCAGCTCTTTGCAAGCACCTGCACAGACAGCATGCTAACGCTAAGCTAGCCAAGAACCCAGAGTGATGCTGAAGCTGAATGAATGCTGAGCACAGTCCAGCACCGTGGTCAAGTGAGTTGTCTTTTGTGAGCTGTGGTGAAGCAAGCTGCTGCTGAACTTCATCAGGTAACAAACAGATGAGCGGTCGGGCTGCACCCCAAGTTTCTATTTAGATTGGCTTTTAATTAGATTCATGCTGTATGTTTGATTTTTGATGTATTTTATGTATTTCTGTCTTTATATTACTGTGAAGCACTTTGTGGTTTTTATCCTGTGAAGAGTGCTAGATAAATAAATTGAATTGAAATTGAATTCTATCTGGGGGGGGGGTTCTTTGTTGTTTTTTTGCTATATCACAACAACAGTTGCCTCAAAGGCACTTGTAATGTAAAGACCCTACAACAATACAATCCTGTTCGTGTTTCTAATGTGGAATCACCATGGTGATCGCTTTAAAGTCTCTTTGTGCTGATTTTCATTTTTGATTTGTGTTGTCGGCTTTGTGTTCATACTTAAATACTAAGAGTAAGATCAGGGAATAAGTGAAGGAAGAAGGAATGAGGACATTTTACATCGAATAGAAATCCTAAACTATGAGGAGGAAACGTATTAGACTTAGTAGGAAAATCTTATAAAATAGGATTTAATTCATCTTATAAGTGAATTAAATTAAAGATCTGATGGAGGAGTGAATACTGTCATAATCAAAATAATACAATGTAAGCAAAGGGTTTTTTGATATCAAGGATAGCTCCTCTGATAGAAATTGCAGGGACTGTTTGAGGTCCTGAGGACTGAGACTTAGGTGGAGTGCAGGAATTATCCAGAGGAGAGCTTGTTTGATGTTGTTGTTGTTTTAATGGCAGCTTTTTAATGAGGTGATTTTTTTCATTGGTTGTTCTCATTGTTGAGCTGCACTGAAGCAATATTGCATTGCACTCCATCTTTAAGACAATGTAGTTCAAACCTGGCAGACATCCACCAAAAAGTGGTGGATGTCAGTATGTCTTTGGCAAAAAAAAAAAAAAATGCTATTCCTCAAATCACCACTCGAGAATGACTCTAAAAGTGAATCAGTCACTGCAGACCTTCGTGTTAAAAAAAACCCAACCACTTTACAGCAGGTTTAGTGCCTTTGGCTCATCTCCCCTTTTGCAATAGGAGTGGGTTTTTTGTTTGCTGTCTCATTTTATGACTTGTTAATGTCAGGGGTGTGCCGGGCTCGTTCTGCCATTTTGCACCATTTGTACTTTCTGGAGAATTCAATAAACAGTACAATAATATGACAAACGATGAGGCTTGTTATACTTTCTAACAGCCCACCCAAGAAGTCTGTGCAGTAGTTAGGGTGAGTGAAGGTGTAGTATTTTGTTCATGTGTTACTTCAGTTGCACTAATTTACAAATATAACCATGTGTGCTTTGCGCCAATTAAAAGCTGCACTCAGCACTCCCTATTTTCATTTATGTGGTTACTTGTGGTTTGATGTTTCATCCACTTATGTTAACTTTATTTTTATTGATTTTGAGGTTAATGCAACTACAGTCATCCTGAGTATCAATAAAATATTCATCAGTCATCCTGAGTATCAATAAAATATTCATCAAACCTCATCAGCAAGTGTTGACTAATACTGAAGACATTTCTTCTGTATTTTTTTAAGCTTTGTACATACATAGTATTGCTTGAAGTTTGCATTTTTTTCTCTCTTAAAGTTTAGGGATGGGGGCATTGTTCATTGTTCAGGGGGCAGTTTAGTTAGCTTAATGTAAGCTAACTACTAAGCTAACTGCTAATTACTACTAAGCTTAATACAATACAACGGTAGCATAATTTAAGCTAAATACAATAACCTTATCCTCCACTCTCACACTTACAGGGATGTTGTAGCGCTCTCTGACAGAATTGCGAAGTAAGCAGGACACCACACAGCAAAAGTCCAGGAGTGGCATTGCGCAGCACCATCCATGTTTACTGGCTGTGTCACACTGCATGCAGGGGAAACACCAATATCCGAAGCAACCTTGAAGAAAAATGTGCAGAGATGCCATATCTGTATGAATTTACCCCAGTTTTTAATCAATTCTACAAACTCTTGCGTAACCTCTGCATTATCCTGACTTCAGATACTCTGCAAAACGACTGCAAACAAAGTCTGAGGAGGTGGTTGATGCAGAAATCCCTGCTGTTTGTAGGGTTTGCTGGGTTCACTTACAGGAGTTCATATCAGAGCAGCAGTCACAGATGCCAGTGCTCCATTGCCCAGACTGCTGACTCATTGCAGTGGTGGTGACTACCACCTGGGTGGTTGAATGCTGGAAGGCCATTCCTGGAGCAAACGAAGTAGAAAATTAGACACAGATTGAAGAGAGTTTTTGTTGTCATTGTTGTTGCTTTTTCTTATGCCTTATTTCATTGTATTTATTCTTCTATGGTTTTCTCTTGTTCATTCACTAACTTAAGAGTTTTGGTCAGCTGTTGCTTTTAAATGAGATGTAGAGATGAAACCGACGTTAACGGGCTATAGTGGTTATAAACATGTAACATGCACAGCAGGGTGTTTTCTAGTGCATGTAAACCCCTAACAGGATCTTTGGCACTTGTCTGCCAATGGATCAATATAATTATACAGGCTATGGCTGGCTTGTAGGGCTGCCACACAGCCACACACTAAAAGCACTGAAAGCAGCCCGTGTTTCACTACCAACACTGGAGTCAAATCTCGTAATGTATCCGAGCCCTCCCATACCTTCCCTGTGCACTCGGGCACCTTGCAGAACAGAGTTTAGTGTGGTTGATATAGATGGACCAAAAAGAGCAAAAAGAAATTAATCGACATTTTAGCTGTCGGGACTGCTGCTGCAGCTGCACTGCAGCAACAACAACTAGTATTACAGTTTTTTACAGTCGCTAACAAGCGCCTACCCATACTTCAGATACCTTTTCTAAACTCTTAACACAGACCCACACCTACAAAACACAATTGGCCAAATGGATAATATCCTTCCCAAAAATACACTTTGTTAAATATATACTAACTCCTCATTTCAAAATTAGAACACATCTTTCTCTGCACACACTAACTGTACAAAAACACTATAAATCTGACTCAAAATGAAATTATTCTGTCAAAGAATAACACTTGTTTTCACTTCACAAGGTACATGCAGTCAATCAAAGTACACCAGGTTTCAAAATACTGGCTATTATTGACATTACAAAAACTGCATAGACATTTATGTTTCAGTTTCACAGGTATTTGCATGCGAAACATGCAATCCACCATATTGACACCAGAAATGTCTTGGTTGGTAACTGTATGTCCACATGTACAGTAATGTTCACATTCAAAAGCATTCCAGTAAAAAGCAAACAAGTTTTTGTTTCTTTACTGTTTACCACAGGAGGTACAGTAGAAACACGGTATGATAGGACAGAGAAAGTTTTACAGTATTGCTTACAGTGAACAAAATATCCATGAAACACACAAGAGCATTCTGAACAAAAAAACAACAGCAAAAAGCCAAGATAAAAAGGGGGGGAGGGGGAGGGGGGCTATAAAAAGGCAAAAGATTTGCATCTAATCTCTGCGATCTTCAGGGTTAGGCCACATGTTTTCATCAACATCACATCTGATGTTATCCAAGTCGATGCACCTGGGATAAAACCGCCTGGTATGTCGGATCCACCGACATATCATTGCAGAAGCAGAGGTTTTTATACTGTATCTAAGGTTTGGGATATTGTTTTTGCTATTGTGGGATGTTGTGTGTTAACATTCGTAGATACTACAAAAACAGTTCATGATTTTGCTGGGAGGTATAGCTTGTCTGTTAAGAAAATGTAAGCATTGTGGAAATGTGTTCACTGACTGCATATTGGGTGAACACGACATGAAATGTGTGAATGGTATGGCCACAACAGACCGATGCTGTGCTAATTGTGTTTAGAGTTTTGCAAATGTGACAACTGTTTGGACAAACGCTTGTTAGCGACTGTAAAAAACTGTAAGTCCTCACAGTCCAGATGCTGAGACTGCTAGCACCAGCTGTGGAGAAGTGCAGGAGAAAGGACAGCAGTCGTCACTCTGTTTCCCATTCCCTTGTTAGCCTGTGTTTGTATATATTATCTCAGTCTTCCCTTGCTCTTTGTTATGTTCTCCCTCGTGCTGTGTTTTCTTCTTTCTCTGCTCTCCAGTAAGATTCCTTTTCATGAGATTATTTTTCCCTAACCTGCATTATGTTTACAAGCCTTTTCCAATCTTACTGATCAAAGGTCTTCAACTGCACACACAGTGATTTTAATGGTACTGTCCAGAAAATACTACGTCTAGATGAGCAGATTCAACTCTCTAGGGCTATTATGCAGAGCTTTGTTGCAATAGATGCTCAGGCAGTTGCTTTATATATGACAGGTGTGTAGTTTTCTGCCTGTATTTTATATTGAACCTTTTTGTGCTTTTCAAATGTCATAGTTTCCTTGTGTTTGTAAAATCCACTGATAGATCCTGTTGAGCTGTCCATGTTTGGGACAGCTCAACTGTCACATGTTTCCAATACCATCTTGTTCACGTTAGCACCCTTTGCTACAAGACTGATAAACTGCATATGAATTTATCAAGTTGATAACCAGCTTTGTGTGCTCACATAGCCTGACTGGAGATGTTGTGAGAAGTGAAGCTGTACATGAAAGATATTTCAGTTGCCCTTGCTTCATGGCACACAGCCTTCGCAAGATAAGATAAGTTACCGTGGAGGTAATAATTTCCATTTCCACGTGTTTTACCAAAAGTTGCACTGTAGTTGTATCATAATAACTTAAAACAGGGACTTTAGAGATTAATGGAGGTGCCTGGGGGATAACAAATTTATCTACACCAGTTCTGCAATGTAAGATGCACACTACACTGTACAGAGATCCATAAACTACAATTTGCTGTAATACACACACAGTGAAGTGACTCTTTTAAATTAACTGGTTGAGGTCAAACCCAACACACTTGTCCCAATCAGGATATCAGTCAACCACCTCCCTGAGCTCCACCTTCACCCCTATACTGAAACATAACACACCAAAAATAGAATAAAGAAATGTTGAACTTGTGTGAACACAAGACAATACATGGAAATTCCATGTACCTGATACCAGGCCGATTACACCCTTGGTCATGGGGCATATTATAAACTTACTTCAGATATCTTAGAAATAATATCTTAATTAATATACTAAAAAATTCCTAGCTAACATTAATCTACTTATAGTCTATTGGCAACTAGTCTAACAGTCCTATAAGATTCATTAATTTATGAGTATAAAATGCAAAACTATGCTTATAATAATTAGATGTCCAGTTTTTTGTGCTATTTTTCTTGAGGCAGTATGAAGTGCGTGTAAACCCGTGTGCTGCAAGTATTCCTCTGACTGGCTCACAACACCACACTGGGAAAATGATAGCAAACTGTACTATTAGGTCGCAAAGACTGCTAACTGCTTTAAGATGTTTGCCAGTATAGAAAGTTGTCCTTACCTTTTCTCTGCTTCTCTGAGTTATGAGTAAAATGAGAGCAAGTCCAACCTATGACTGTAAATTGTGACGGGAGTGGTCAAGTGTGGGTTGAAGGCTCTGCTCACTTTCAATTTTCAAAGAAACCACCTCTCTGACAGAGAAAGACGAACAGTTACACACGCTTTCATTCCAGGATAGATAAGAATAGATGAAACACTCAAGGCCAAAAAAGTTCAGTTCCAATAAAACGAGAGTTAAGCGTGAGAGTTACTGACCGTGTCGAGTTTTATGCAGTTTATAGTGCATCATTTATTATTACTTTATGAAAATCACCTTGCTGTGAACTTTTTGACTTGTGCTCTAGTGGTGCCTGTCTGTATTTCTGACTTCATAACATGACACTACAAAGAAAAGATCAGGCAAAAGTGCTATGGACTGTAACAGAGGGTTTATGGTCATGCACCTCTATAAAAGCAGTAGCGGAGCATTCAGATGTCTGTTAACAAAACAATTCACCCCAAGGACAGACTGTGCAATGCTCAGAGAAACACAAGAGATAAAAGTTGCAAAGTTCCATGTAAACAAACCACAAGCAAAATGTCCTTTCGACATGAAGCTTTGCTGTAGATTAAAGAATTAAAATGTTTTAAAACAGCTCAGCCAGAAAGTTCAGCAACATTTTGATTTACTCAAATCCCTCAGTCGTCATTGGTCTCTTCGGGCCCATGGCTTGTTTGGTCGGTAAACACTGCAAACCAAGCTGAGTAAGCTGTGTGGTGTCAAGTGCTGAAGTAAAATCCCCTCATTCAAATTTATTTTACTAACACGTTAAATGTAAATGAATGACTGCAGTAGAGCAGAATTTAGGGATGTCTCAATGAAACCAGGTCTGAATACAACAGCTGGATATAGTTTGATTTAGATCATCTAAGTGGGTGCCAAATATTTCTTCTTTGGTCTTGATCCTGAAGACAATGGATTCATCAGAACCAGAATATAAAAGACATTTGAGCCCTTTTAGGAGCGTTTAGGAGTTATTGTTATGCTTAAAATATTAATGAAGGGTCTGTGTAATGTCTGTACGACGGCCTGTCGGCTCAGTAGATCGAAAAGCATAATACGATTAGCTATGAAAGGTGGTCACGGTGTGTACTAGCATTGTTAATTGATGAGCGGTTTCCAACACAGAGGTGAGAGGAGTAAGGAGTTTGTGTAAGTGGGTGTCTCACGTTGCTTATAAACTCTTCCCTCATTTCACTGCCAATGAAGTTCCTTCAAAATTATTGGCTGGTGTAAAAAGTTGAATTTAATGGTATCTGGTCAAATGAAATTTATTTGATTGCTATACATTCAGCTATAACTAAGCACAGTTTCCATAAGTTTAAGCATGTGAATGAATAAACCTTTAATTTGGCATTTTTCAGTTGCATTTGTGTCATCATGTTTACAGAGGGTGAAAAATCTGTTCTTGTAAAAGTGTAAAGGGACAGACTCACGTTTGCCAAAAGACTTTTTATTTATTTTAAAGAGTACAAGAGAGCCATTAAATGAATACTAATATTTGGGTGCTGGGTGTTTAAATAAGATGTTTCTTTTTCTTATACACCAAATCCTGTCTTAGTATAAGAAAAAGGGTCAGTTTAAACACTAACTCTCAGTTCAACATATGCGCATAAAGGTTTACATACTACAAGGATTTATAGATTGTTTCCACTGTCTCCATAATTAAAAGTAAAATAACAGGTTTAATGCAGCCTGGACAGTGAACATAACAAGAGTTGCATAAATGTGGAGGCTGTGCTAACATCTGTACTGATGCAGAGGGCAGTGTTGGGCTGTATGTTTTTTAAATGTGAACCATTATAAATGAAAGATATAACTCACATCTATTAAACTATTAAACACAGGAAAAGGTTCCCCTTGTTTTGGTCACAGTAGTGGTTTTCAGGTCATCGAGGTGAGGTTATACAGGTCCCTGGGTGTGTTTCGGAGATTCCCAGGATGAGATGTAAAGTGATAAATGTGGTGATGTCTGGTGAGATTAGGTCAAACTCGTCACTTCAAAATAAGCTTCTCACAAAAATACAGTGAGCTAGCACTGTTATTTGGATCCCTGCATAACCATTCTTATTACTTGTTACATGAAATTAGCTCTGCAAACAATGAATGACAGTGAGCTAGGCTAATAACACACTACAGGTTAATTTACATTAAAGGTTAGTTTACAGCTCTCAAAATTCAACTGAGGTCAAAATGCTTTGAGATGACTGTTACATGCAGATAAAACAGAAGTGGATTGAAACATGTGGCTTTGAATGGGACACATGCCTTTGATCCAGAGCAAAACTGTTTACAGCATGGCTTGTGTGGTGATCACAGTCGAGGTGGCGGGCTGCTGGCTTTCTCTGATCTTCAGCTCGCGATGCATCTGGCACCAGACGCACGAGTAACACCAACATATCTTGCAGCAGTCATCGATGAACGAGCCCTACAGGATGGAGGAGAGGAAGCAGCAAGAGTTATCGGGATTGAATTTGTAGCTGTCGTGATTGTACCTGTTTAAATGTCCCTGTTCACGCTGCTTTGTACTGAACTGAACTGAAACTAACACGACTAGAAAGAGAAACAGGGAGGAGCGATTTTTTTCAAATCTTTATGCAACTCAAAACAACCTCTCTATTTCCTCAAAACTTTATCTGTCTGTAGCCAGTTTCCTTGCTGTTAACTGTCAGGATGTCAGTGAAGGACCACACACAAGCAGGATTTAGAGAGGTTTCCTTTCCTTCAGTGAGACAGAGGAAAATAACAGATCGAGTCTGATTTGCAGTAATTTCAATGAGCTCTGCATTGGTCTTTTTCTACCTGCTCAAAGATCCTCTATATTCACTTACTGTCAACTGTTGGCAAACAGGGCTAATAAAAGCAGTGAGAGTAACATGAACAGTAAAAAATACTGAGTGGCAAAACATCTATGAGAGTTAGAGATTAGAATAGCTTTCCATTTCCTCTTCCTCTAATTTGGTCAGCAGGCACTTCTCTATGCTTCTCTCTCTCTCTCTGTGTTTATGAATAAAAATTAGTTTATGCCAGATGCCCTTCCTGATGCAACTCTAATGGGACTTTTGTCTCCTTCCAGGATTGAGCTAGTGCTTGTTAGCTGAATGTGTTACCCACAACCAGAGATGGGCAGTAACGCGTTACGCGTTACTTGTAAAGATTAAAACTGATAAAACAAGTTTAAAAAAAGAGACTTTTCCATTTGATTACATTTTGTATGATGGATTATGCAGAAAAAGTAGAATTGGGCTGAAAGATCTATCGCTTTATCACCTATTCAGGTTGTAAATCGTGTTTTTAAAAAGTAACTAAGTAATTAATTACTTTTGAAAATAAGTAATCAGTAAAGTAATGGGATTTTTTTTCAAGTAACTTGACCAACACTGCCCACAACTATAGTTTGTTAATGTTAGCTTTTATCTCTACTCTACCCTATCATCAACATACTGTCATTTCGGACTCCAAATAGCCAACATGGTGAGGAACCTAAAGTTAAAGCTTTCCTCAAACCAATGAGTGACATCATAGTGATGTCACAGTGGCCACAGCCACAGGGTGAGTCATTAACCCTGGTTCCAGAAACAGAAAACATAAATCAACAGGAAGTCATGTGACTGTGAAGCCAGTCTATAGTTAATCATTTGCTTTTTATCCAGTGTGATGTTTGTTGAATAGTCGGTTGAGTAAGTTGAGAAATAACACGTATTAAAGATCTAATAATCACATCAAAAATGAGAGAGCTGGATGGAGGGCAGCCGACAGATGAGACACCAAAAGACGATGAAAGGTGAGGAAGAGGTGATATGGCACAATAAAAGAAAAAGTTATGAGAATTCAGCCATTAGGTACTGCACAATGTTTGACATTTTATATTAATTTCACTATAAAACATATGCCCTCAAATGTTTCAAAATCCTAGCAACACGCCTGCTGCCCTTCATCTCTAACCCAGCCTTACAGGGATGTTGTGGCGCTCTCTGATGGACTGACGGAGTAAGCAGGAAACCACCCCGCAAACATCCAGGAGTGGCATTGCACAGCACCATCCATGTTTACTGGCTGTCTGACACTGCATGCAGGGGAAACACCAGAAGCCGCAGCAACCTTGAAACAAAACAGAAAAAGAGAAAATGGGGAAAAAAAGAAGGGAATAGGGAATAATCTTGCCAGTATGTAATCCTCATTTCACTAGGTTTCAGGTAGTTTTCTGGGTTTTTAAACACTTCCCCTTCTGCTCATTGTCACTTCTGTCTTCTTGTTTCCTGAGCGTGTGCCTCTGTTCTTCTTCTTATGATCTGGTGATGTTTGGTTTGGTCATTTCATTGCAAGGGTCATTCGTTACCCTGGAATATTCAGCTGCCGTTGGTTCAAATAATAACTTGCCAGTGGATTTCTGGGAGGAAGCCAGAGTAACAACAGGAAACCAGGCAGGAGAACATGCAACAGTGCTAAGCACTCCAACAGAGTGCTGCATTTAAGTTCCTGTGCCAATTAGAGAATCTCAGATTTCTGGAGAAGAGCATAATATAATCAAAAGCTCCATAATGCAACTGATTGGACAATCTGAGGAGATGGTTGATGCAGAAATGACTGCTGAGTGTTCACTTACAGCTGTTCATATCAACACAGCATTCACAGAGGTCGGTGCTCCACTGCCCAGGGTTCTGATTGGTGGTGATTGTCACCACCTGGTTGGTCTGCTGGTGGCCAGCCATGCCTGGAGGAGACAGCGTGAAGTGTGACAGAAGTTATTGCTGCTACGCATGGAGAAATCCAAGGGTAGAATTTGAGAAAGGTAACAGGCTGGTTTGTTACATATATAACAGGATGTTTCCTGATTCATTTAAATCACTACAAATAGCTGGAGTGAGATGTGCAAAGAATTTGCGTGCAGTGCACTCTTCTGTCCTCTGGACCCCATGCCACCAACCATCCTCAAATCATGCCTGTGCACTTTGTGTACCATCATGGTGGACATCATCTGAAACCAGCGGAGCCCTGTACTATGAAGTACAGTTCGGCATATCCAGAGTATCTTTCTGTTATCTCTCTGCATTCCTTTACCCTGAAACAGGCGATTAGGATCAGGTGAGCTTTGTCGCACAAAGCTGGTTATCAACTTGCTATCCAACTGACGCAAGTGAGAAACTTTACACCATCCCAGGCTCCCAACAGAGGTCCATGGGATTTTTCAGGAAAGGTGACACCATTTTCTGGAGAATTCATTGGTCGGTAGGCAGTGATGTCATACCTGCTCATCTCTATATTACAATGACAAATTGAGCTTCAACACCTGACAGGTTAAAAGCAGTATGGGGCAGGAGGTAGGCTAACAGGCTACTATCAGTCCTACAGTATGTCCTCCACTCTTGTGGAGGCCTGTCTGTGAGGTAAATGGCAAGAATATGTGAACTAAAAATCACAGTGTGACCAGAAATGAGGGTTGAAATGAGAGGAGATTTCAGACTGTCCAGATTTATGTGCATTTCACATTTATTTGCATATTAAATGTGAACAGTTCATTAGTGGCCAAGCTTATGACCACTAAGGACTGTTTCGTACATTGATGATTTATTCAAACAATCAAAACATGCGTGAGAGATACGCATTAACAAATAAAGGCGGGGGCAGAATTCTGTTTGGTGTCCTTGATTAAGATAAGAAAGGCATTTCTGGTCGCTCCCTTATTTCCTACAAGAACAGAGTTTACATCAGATGACCCTTCCCTCAACCCAGACTTGGAACTAGCATTATGTGTACACTAGCTTCTGACCCAGCTTGGACAGGAATCCCCAAAAACCAAACATCAATAATTAGTGTCAAGCAAGACAAATTACTAGATTTGACAGAATAGATAGACTATATGGCAAACTATGGTTAAACCAGGCTGGAAAAAAAAACATTGAATGTCTTGTCCCCCCACAAGCTTTACATGTTAATCACTACACAGAAATACTAAGCTGTTCATCAATATGAAAAGTTAGTCTTACCGTTTCTCTGATTCTCTGAGCGTTGAAAAAAAATTAGATGAAGTTGAGAAATCCCAGCACTAAACTGGAAATGAGAGAGGGGGGTGTGGACACACTAGCTTCTAGGGGTGGGGCCAGAAGCAGGACGTGGAGATGGGGGGGTGAGGGTACTAGCTCCTGCCATGAAATATGATTATCCTCCTATTGTCCCCTGACTGAAGCCATTGGACTGTCCATTCATTTTCTTCCACTTATCTATTTTGCAGCCATGACTGGAGTGTATCTCAGCTGCTATAGCACCAGAGGCAGGGTACAGCCCATGGACAGGCTAACACAGAGAGCCCTGTGATAGACTGTGATACAGTACACAGAGAACCCCCTCCACAGTCATGAGGAAAGATGTAAACTGCACTCAGAAAGGCCCCAAAGGGCCAGAGTAATTGAAACCAGGACCTTCTTGCTTTGAGTTAATGGTACTAACCACACAGCACTGTGCATGAGTACTATTAGTCTCACGGTCCCTAACACCATTAGATGAGCGCATAGACAGGAGCAGCATGGATCTGAGTACATTTCCTCAAGCACTTTACTTTGTTGTAATGTACTATTTAAGTTTGTCCATGTTATGTTGCTTTCTACTTTTACTGCGCTGTATTCTGGATGCAATTACTGTACTACTACACCATGCTATTTCTTTTAAAGCTTTAGTTTGCTGACTAGTGGGGTTTACACATTATGGAGTCACCAGCTTAGCAAGTGCAACACACTATCCATACTATCCATATCCAGGTATGTGTGTATGTATGTTTATGCGTATGTGTATGTGTGGGGTCAAGATGTGACCCTGTGAAGACTCCCCAAAGCTGTTGCCAGGAGTCTAGTGGTCCATCTAAACAAAGGGGTAGATATACATGTGTTTGCTATACCATATATCAGCAAGAGAAGATACGACCTCTCCTAGGAGGTGTGTGATCCATGCCAGAACACTCTGAAGAGGAGTGAATGCACTCCCCTCTTCACGCTACTCAGAGTTGTTACAGACCCCCTAGGATGAGACATTCTTTCAATATGCAATCAACTATATATTTCTAAGAATATATGAATATATATTTCTAAGCATAAATGACAACCCAACAAAACAAACCTGACATATTTTATCATATAAACCATCCCACAGAGCAACCAAGCAGCAAGCCGCTCCCACTTGAGCTCAACCAGACTAAAAGTTAAGCGCCATCTGATGATGCTACTGACGAGTTTTTGCTTTCTCCTTTCAGAAGCTATCTCATATCATCCAACTCTCTGGTCGTATTAAAGGTCAATTTTCTTCAATAAGATTTGATAAGAATAATTCATTACATAGATCGAGTCACTAGTTCTACCAATGTGAAAATGAAGGTGCTCTATTTTTCCCAAATTTCCATATGTTTTTGCAAAAGAAATAATAAAAACTAATAATCCTCCTCCTTGTAAATGAAAATTTTTACAGTCTTTGTTGCACACTCTATGTCATGACCTGGGTGTCACGGGCCACTGAACCCTGACAGTCTATCCCTTTTAATAAAATTAATAAAATTAAGCATTTATGTTTCTTAACATCTCCACCTGTTCATCTTAAGGATGGTTTATTTTATTTTTTTACCAGATTTTGTTAGCTTGTCATTTGATGACTCACCTAATAGCTTTAAGTGAGTATTTGAACTAAAGTGACATTAACACACCTGAGCTAAAGGTTTAATCGGTAACATCACATGACCTAATTGAACAAGTGAGAGCGAACATGTTAATGAATGTGAAAATGCTAATGTGCTGATAGATGGTTCAGTGGCTGTTCACGACCATTTAATGACCAAAATAGTGTCAGTCAAATATTTTGTTTGTTTTTTTAAAACAACAACAACAGTCACTGGGTTTTTCCTTCCTCTGTAAGAGATGGTCTGACCAAGTATCTAGTCACTGTGGTGTTTTTTGCCTGGGGACATTTACCCGGGGACAAATTTATCTTTTTCATCCATATTTCAAATACTTTTGCTACAATGTTTCTGTGTTACCACATGCAAACTAGTTATTTTACATTTACACTAGCTGAATGACTGTGTATCATGAATTCTGTGTTTCCCTGTGTGAACAGGTGGGGTGTGTCTATGTGTGTGTGTATTAGTTAAATGTTGGGTTTTCTACCCTTCATCTCATTTTTCTTCAAAGTTCACCAAACCAGAAACCAGGTAAGAAAGACTTTCTATAAAAATGAACAGCTTGAAACATTCAACAATGTTTCTGAAGCTTACTGCACTGTTGTATCGTTTTTCTCAGTCATTTTCAAGTGAGCTGATGAACCAGTGTACTCAAGTGATGCTGAGTAAAACAAGGGGGATTTTTAAAGGTTTTCATATCTTCACAGAATTAGAAAGAAAATTCTGGAGTCTACTTATCATAATTACTCATGGGTCAGTAAAAGAGAGGATGAACATTAAGTAACAAATGTTGTTATAACCATCCTTCAATTTTATCGCAAGATATTTAAAAGAATGAGACTGATGACAGGTTGTACTGAAAGATATGCAAACAAGTTCAAATAGCTTCTGAAGTCACTCCAATCCAATATCTGATAAAGAAACCCTAAAATGAAGATGTAAAACTGACCTCTTCAGTCTATAAAGTTTCTCTTTGAAAATAATGATTTATCTTCTTCTCCTGTCCTCTCTTTGTTACACCTTTATTTTTCTGTGTGCCACATTAGTGGGTTTTATTTATACAGCAGCTGTTCATTTAGCTCACAGACACATTTTGTGACACACTACACAGAGACCTTTTGGGAGTCGGGTGATATTAAAGTAGAGTGAGTTTCCAGTTTAAGAAGGTTCATGCTGCGTCCTATTGTGTAGCTGTCTAGCCAGACGCTGAAGTACTGAAACTAGTACTGAAAACTTCAACTATACAGCTGCACCATGGACACGTCACAGGAATGACAAGAAAAGGTGTGAGCAGGCTGTGGAATATTTTCTTATTACTGAACATGAATCTCCACGATGTCACTGAAAGCAGGGCTGCAGCACATGGTTCGGTCTAGCAACGTGCATTAACCTGCCTGTTAGATATAAGAGTGCAGCTGAACAGCAGATACTGCACCTGCAGTTATAGTACAACAACACATTTTTCAGGTTATTGCAAAACTTTGTTTTTAATCATTTCATTTGCTTGTTTTTTTTAAGTTATTCAAAAAGGGTTTGAAGACACAGCCACACAACATCCATTAAAGCACACAGACTATTACCAGACAATTACATTAAAAGATATATATGAACAATAATGTTTGCCATGTACATGTGTGTACGTACATCTGTGTGTAAATTCCTTGCCACTTGTTGGCAAACTTTTTTGTCTGTATTGCACGCAGATCATTTCTACATCTGCTTCCAGGTTTTTGTAGTGATTTACGTGGACCAGTTCCAGCTGTAACACAAGCAGCATGTTGAGAGCAATAGTTTTAACCAGTCTGTACCTTTCTCATATTCTAGAAGTGATAATCTTTATGACGGCATTAACCCTTCACTCTGTGTCTGTTTCTGCCTTGTTTCTTCCAGGGATGAGTGCAATGAATTGGAGCACCGGCATCTGTGACTGTTGCTCTGATATGAGCTCCTGTAAGTTAATCATTCAAATCCTACAAACAGCAGTTTCTCTGACTGTTTTTGCAATAAGGTAGCAGAGTGCAATGTAATAACTAGTAATGAAACACAAATGTCTCTGTGTATTTTTCTAGGTTGCTACGGATATTGGTGTTTCCCCTGCATGCAGTGTCAGACAGCCAGTAAAAATGGATGGTGTTGCGCAATGCCACTCCTGGACATTTGCTGTGTGGTGTCCTGCTTACTCCGTCAGTCCATCAGAAAGCGCTACAACATTGTTGTAAGTCTGGGTTAGGGATGGAGGGGCGTATGTTAAACAGTGTGTAACAGATTGATGACCCCACTGGGACGTCTAGCCTTAGTTTGTGAACCATTTTAAAGTTTTCACTATTGTTTGTTTTGCTTTGTGGATCCAGAAATGCCTGTTTTTGGGGTGGAGAAACAGTTCGATGTTAAAACTTCACATTAGCAAAACTGCATCCCTTAATGCAGCCGTCCCCAACCCTCGGACCATGGACCAGTACCGGTCCGTGAGTCGTTTGGTACCGAGCCGCGAGAGTTGATGCTCAGGTGTGAAATTTATGGTTTTCATGGTTTTTATCATTTTTATCGTTAACTCTGTTTCCCTGAGTCTTTTCCCGTGTGTTATAAATAAATGTTCTTTTTTGGTACCGGTGCTGGTTTTATTTTGTTGTATTTATCTGTGACACCTTAAAGGCCATAAAAATATTGTCGGACATAAACTGGTCCATTGCGCAACAAAGGTTGGAGACCGCTGCCTTAATTTATAGGGATTTCTGTAGGGTTTAATTAGTAAAATGTGCACATTTGCATATTCAAGTTACTGAATCAAGAGACGATGAAGGATGATGAATGTAGGGTAGTAGGGTATTATACTTTATATTTGTATTCTTTCATGTCCTCTTTAAGTACTCAACCATCCAAAGCAACAGACACAGGTGAAAACAAGAGTGCAGCCAGGGTGGGGTGGGTGGAGATGAGTGTTGACAGAAGGATTTCTGCAAGAGTGAAAATGAAGATTTACAAGATGATGGTTAGGCCTGCTGTGGTGGATGGGTTGCAAAACTACTGACAGAAAAACAGAAGGCCGAGCTGAAGATAAGTTAGGTTAAGTCACCTTATCATTCAGTGGCATCAGTAAACTGAGTGGGATGACATTTTTTAGGGACTAGCTTGCATCCAAATTAGAAAAAGAGGAAATGGAAAGTTATCCAAATTTGAACTCTCTTATTTGTCTGCATACGGAAGAAATCTGCACCTGTGGCTGCTTGTTTTAAAAAACTCTCAGATATTTGGTTATCCAGGTGGGGACAATGCAAAGCAAACATGGCCTACCTTTTACTTGATGGTGTACACTGTTGCTGTTGAGGGGTGGCTGCTGCTTCTGCTGCTGATAACAAGTGTTATCAGATAAAAATAAAATGCAAAGATTGGTGACAGCAATGGAATCATAAGACAACAGATGAAAATAAACTAGGCTTTGTCTGTGAATCACTCTTTGCCTCTCTCCCTCCTTCCATCTCCTCATCTGAGCTATCGAGCTCCACTCGCTGTCCATCTGAGAACAAGGCACAATTTGCTATTGCTTTAAACTATTATTTAATTATCCAAACTGAATAACTTTTGCACCTAATCCGTAATAAAGTAATAATAGAAAAATGTTATTGAACCAAATCATTGCAGCTGTGTTTGTACCAGCAATGCAACAACTGGTACGTGTGTTATTGTTACCTACTCTTTTTAATCCAGCTGGTGAAGGATCCACTGCCTTTAGCAGCCTCACACATCTCCTTTTGACACTGTTTTCTCCTCATATCCTTACAGGGCATGTCTGGACAATGTTATAACATGAATAATAATTTTAAAAAATCTATACACATAAAACATGCACACGTAGACACACACACATACAGTGACATTTTATACCTTCTCCAGTCCAATATGGCCACAAGTTTTCTTCCAGAATCCTTCTCCTATTATTTATTCCTAGTGCTCTGATATTAAAGTAATAAAAATAAAATAATGTATTTATGATGATTCAGTGATTGTTTAACTGTCCACTCTGTGCAGGCAGAAAGCTTATTAAATGTTTAAACTGTAGAGATACAATAATTTTGCTGCTGTAAATTCAGCATTTTGTCATATTTGACATATAAATCTAATATCATCTGTTTCTTAATGTATTTTTGAAAATACAGTGGGGGGGGTTTCATAATATTGTAATTATAATAATCCATAATTATGTGGATATGTATATTAGTTAGTTTTTAATGAAATATAAGCCCTGTAGAAATGCTCATTTATTTCAATTCATCAGTTGCCACAGAAGAACAACTGACCACTACATAATAAGCTAATATGCTATAGACTATAGTGTGAGCTGTACACCTAGTTTCCTTTGCATCAATCTGCGTCTGCATCTCCCAATTAAGTTGTGTTTCTCCTACAACTCCACAACGCTCAGGAGGCAAAAGCAATCCACGTTTTCTTTGTGAGTTGATTCCCGGCTCATAACCAGCGCGTTCTACCTTCAAGGGCAATCATTGGTTAAATGGTAGTGATGTGACTGATGCAAGCCAGATCCTTTTATTTAGCAAAATTGTGATTAATAGTTAAATATTATTGTTGAGGGGCCCAGGCAGGACTCCACACCGCACATGCCTGCATGACAGCTTCATTAAATTAAATTACAGTAACTCCTTCTGCTTCATTGCTTCATCCTCTCCCTCACTCTCTTCTTCCTTTTTCTCCATCCTGCAGGGCTCGTTCGTTGATGATGCCAGCAATGTGATTTTCTGTCACCCATGCGCCTGGTGCCAGATGTATCGTGAGCTGAACATCAGGGAAAACCAGCAGCCTGCTAACTCATCAGTGGTCACCACTCAGGTGGTCCGTGGATAAGATACAACCACTTTTGATGTTCAGGACCTGTTGTGGTTTTGGGGTTTGTTTAGTTTTTTGCACGTAAGAAGGGATTAGTTCAGTTTGCCAAAGAGAATCAAGTAGCATAGCGTCCTATCTGCTTTCATTTTCAGAGCCCTGCACAGCTCATTACTACAGTGTAGTCATTAGCTCCGACCATCAAGTGTGGTTCCATGTTCCATGTTAGTTTTCTTTCATACAGTTTTAAACACTTGAGCTTTAAAATTAGATTTTTTTTAAAGGTTTCATTGACATATCAGGTGGTGGTTGTTATCTCAGGGAAGGTTTTAATCTGACTAATAAAATCTCTGTGCTTAATAAAACTTGATTGCTCTTGGTGTAATTTTTCTTGAGTTTAACCTGTGTTCATATAAAATCTCTTCAATTAAATGAAGGATCGGTTTCTGCTGAAACTTCAGCTTGGACTACATGAAACTGAAAAACTTAAGAATGAATGTGTTAACCAAGGCACGAATACTAAAATGAATAAAATAAACACACTATTAAGTAATTAATTAAATATCAGTTCATTTCATTGAAAACATCTGATACGTTATTAATTTATTTAGTTCCCATTTTAATTAATTAATTTGATTGATGTGGTTTATTCATTTTGACACTTGTAGGCCTCCATACTCAGAAAGCTGTTGTGAAATGCTCAACATAAATCTATTAAAAATGAAGAATTGCAGCTGGCTAGTTCTACAAAGCCTTTGATTTGATGGAGAAACACAAATAAAAACTGGTTTAATGAAACAGCTCGTACAAAGATTGTCAGCCTGTTGATATGACTATAAACACTTTAACCCATAAAATACTGCAGGAAATATTTATCTATCTATCACCTCATGGGGAGATATATTAACCATTCATTTTACCCCAAGCTACTGAATGTTAGAAACAAAATAATGGCGAAAGAAAGAAGGTGAGGCTGTGCTAACATCAATGTTACTGTAGAGGGCACTGTTGGGCTGCCCAAAGAAGGTCTTCAGTTATTTGTTTATCTTTTAATGCCACTAGTATATATGTTTTTATGTTGTTATACTTCTAAATGAAAAGGGTTGAGACAAACATATCTGATGCAGCATATTTAAACAGGCGATCCAGAAACAGATGCTGGATACAAACATCCACACATACATCAAGAAACTACAGTAACAGCAGACAATATGCTGAACAAGAACACACCAAGAACCATAAGAAAGAGAAGGAAGGCAATACGTGGGTGACTGTAAAAATTATTGCAGCACAGACAGAGTCTGTTTAATTATAAATGAGCTAAACGTTGCTAAGGCGACCATGATCTAAAACTACTGTGTGGTTTTGGCCACAGACAAACAGTTTTGATGCAGGTCATTTTGGCTTTTGTATTTAGGGTTTGAGAAAAGGGTGAAAGGTTTGAAGACATGTTTTCATACATTTGTGTAAAAAAGGTGAAAGAATGCATTAGACAGGTGTCTATGAATGCTTTATTTTAGCATAGCTTAAACCCAGTTGGGGAACGATTGGAAGAAAGTGATGATATTATACGCTATGTCATGATATATCCTCAATTTTAATGCACTAACAAAGCATTTATGAAAAGTTCAAACATCTTCGTAATAAAAATGTTCTAAAAGTAAAGCAACTAATGTGGCTGTCACGTATCACCTACACCATGCTAGCACTCGCAATGACCTCTGCAATGCTATGAAAAAGCAGATACAAAGGGGCTACATTTCTTTGCTTTCATTTCAAGCTGTACAAACAACTAAATGTTTTTTAATTGCAATATTATGACAAATAAGTTTAATTAAGAAAAAGTGACATGCACTTGACACACGAGGTTGATATTCTATCCATGGATGACCTGCGTGGTGACCACCGTCAAGATGGCAGGTGCCTGCCTGGCCCTGATTTTCAGCTCACGATGCATCTGGCACCAAGCACACTCGTAACACCAAAATATTTGACAGCAGTCGGCACAGGATGAACCCTGCAAATGAGGAGAGAAGAAGGAGAGAGGATCACGCAGCAGGAGTTAATGTAGTCTCTCTGAAGCTGTCGTGGTTGCAACAGTTTAAAATGTTGTTGTATACAACATTAAAAACAGGGCTGCGATATTATCTCACTTTGGGCTTGTTAAGTTTAACTTTAATTCTTATTTCCAATAAAAATAGGTTTCACTTTCAATTTTACTGGTCATCCAGCCTTACAGGGATGTTGTAGCGCTCCCTGATGGACTTGCGGAATAAGTAGGACACCACACAGCAACCGTCCAGGAGAGGCAAGACACAGCACCATCCATGTCTACTGACTGTCTCACACTGCATGCAGGGGAAACACCAAAGACCATAGCAACCTTGAGGGAAGAAAAACTCACAGAGATGTAAGACATCCTTGAGTTTGTAACAGTTTTCATTAACGTCTCCTTTCATGACCTGCATCTTGTGTTTTCAAAATAGCACAGAGTTGATGCAGAAATCACTGCTGTTTGTAAAATTTGCTGGCTTCACTTACAGGTGTGCATATCAGAGCAGCAATTACAGAGGTTGGTGCTCCATCGTCCGGAGTTTTTATTAGTGGTGGCGACCGTCACTACCTGGATGGGTTGCTGGTAGACAGCAGCCATGGCTGGAAGATAGAAATGCCAAAGCTAGAATCTGAAAAAGTCAATAGACTGGTGTAAAACATTACTGTCTACAGCGCTGTTTCTGTAACGTGCACAGCACAGTGTTTCCTGGTGCAAGCAACCCTCTACAAGGATCTTTGCACGCTTTAGACGGCCATTGACTATCTAAAGTCTAGAACCTATGGATATCACCAAATACTGTTCAGAGTCCAGACCTCAACATAAGATCCACTATTTTGGAGTAATTTCTCCATCACACCTGTTTCCACTGATTTTCAGTGCAATTCTTGTGTAACTTGAAAGATCTCAGTCTTTTCTGTCTGTTTTGTTTCCTTAAGAACAGCTTCTTAACAGCCTCACTTCCACTCAGACCATTTCTGATGAGGCTTCAGTGAACCGTAGATGGATCAACTGAAGGGCCAGAGGTATCTCTGCATACTTGGGTTTGGATCTGACATGTTTTATTAGGCTGTGTAGACATAACACTGGTTCATCCTTTGGGTTAGGTGTATTTTTTATGCTTAAATGATTCATAGGTCAGTGTGAAGTGGCTTACAAACAAAAAGCATTCCTTTGAAAATGGTCAGGTACAAGAGATAGACTAAAGATGAGTGGAAAAGCAGACAAAGAGGACTTTACTCATATTTCCTCCATAATAAAACATCCTTTGTCTATGTAGTAACTCCAAAACACTATGTGATGCAGAACTTGGCCTTTTTAGTCTTAATGGGCTCACTGTGCCTGCTCAGCTTTCCTCTCAGAGTCCAAAGACACAGATTTGAGGTTCACTGTTGATTTTAAATTGACGGTATACAGCCAATAGCACACCTGCAGGTGTGCTTGCAAAGCAGACAAAGCTCCGTGTGATCGTGTTTGAAAGGTGAAGGTGGCCTTCGGTCCAGTTCCTTTGTTATACAGCACATTGTTCACAGTTTGAGAGTTTAGCTAACTTTGAGTTAATATTAGCATCGGCCCAAACATCAGCAAGAACAGGAGTAGCTTTGTATTTGTATCGAGCCTTAAATTTGACATGTTATTATTTTCTGACTTCCTAATTTAAATTACTTAATTAACCACATAAAACACAAACTTTCACTAGCTCGTGGAATAACTAAGATGCTGGCATGTAAAGGTAATTTCAGTGTTATTGCTCTTTGGTCAAGAAGCTGTTTGAATTTTAAAGCTTTTTTGTTTGCATGTCTTTCATTACATACTTCTGCTTTTAAATATCCTAATACAAAATTTAGGGATTTGCATAAAATTGAAGTCATTAAAATACATTAGTTATATCCTAAATGCTTATAACCTTCCTGTGGTCACAGTAAAGATTGTTTCTTTTAATGTCTACTTTGTTCCTGTTTCGCTGAGGGAATAAAATGCTGTTGTTGCACATGTAAGCTCACAGCATCTTTATGTTTTGAGTTTCATTAACAGAAGTTCTACATGTCACCAGCTGAGAAAAATGACACCAAACAGCATCACAAATTCAGAAAGAATGCTGACTGCTTCAAGATGTTTTTCTTACCTGTTCTCTGGTTCTTTGAGCTTTGATAAAAATCAGAGGAAGTGCTACTTAAAACTAAAACTTGTGAGGGGAGGGGTGTTGTGAGGGAACAAGGCTCTGCACTCTTTCAGTCCTGCAAAGGGTCACACACTTTTTAATTTAACGACAGAGAAGATACAAAGTCACAGAATAAACAAGGAGAAATGTCACGGTTCTGGGTCATTTTGACCCAGCATTTTGAGTTTCTTATGTTTTGGTTTATTTTTGAATGATGGATTGTTTTCTGTTTCTCTGGTGCTTTATTGATTATTATGATAAATCTATGTTTCAGTTATTCTGGTATATGTATTATGATTGATGTTCTGGTTGTATTTTGTTATTATTGCAGGTTTAGTTCAGTGTCTAGTCTGTCTCTCCCTTTCTAGTCTGTGTCTTAGTAAAGTGTGTCTTGTTTCCTGTTTTACTTTGAAGGTTCATGTTCATGTGTGATGTCAGCGTGTTCAGTTTTACTTCTCCCCCTGTCTCGTTAGCCCTATTCCAGCTGTGTTCCCCACCTGTTTGTAATCTCCCCGTGTTCTTCTGTGTGTGTTTAAGTTGTGTCTTCTTATGTTGTAGTCGCTGGTCCGTCTGTGTATCCACCGTGCTTCATCCGTGTGTTCTCCCTGTTGTCCGTCATCTGCCTCTGCTCACCCGCCCTCATATTCGTGTTCTTGTTCATGTTTAGTTGTTCTCAGTTTAGATTATCTTCAGTCCCGTTTGCTGTTTTCTACTTGTATTTTATTTTTACAATAAACCTCCTTCGCACCTCCATGAGTCCACACAGCTCATCCCACTCGCCGTAACAGGAAAGAAGTCAACTTCCTGAAGAGCAAGGCTTAAAATGGACCTCATCAAGTTTCATGCACATTACATGCACATTATTATTACATGCACATTATTATTATTATTACATGCACATTATTACATTACTCTTTCTCTTATGAAAATCTGACTGGTGCTCTGAGCGGTGTGCTAAGACGAGGTGTACATTCCTGTGAAAACCTAAGTGCACCCTTGCTGCTTCAACAGGAACCATGAGGGTGAGCAGCAGCCAGGTGCTATTAATCAGATGCACTCTGTAACTGACCTGTCGAAAAACTGACCTGTCGAAAAAAGCAAAAGTACAAAAACAGCTGCAGATTTTAAATCCTGCAGTGTTTGCTGTCTTCATCCTTCCAGAAGTCATCATGAAGCTGTAACAAATGACTGGTCTTCATTTTAGCCTAGACCATTTTTTTTTAATTATGCTTAATTTTGTCAGAGATCACTATCTCACCCAAGACCCACTTAATATTTTTAGCTGCCCACCCAAACACAGCAGGCAACAAGCGAACCTGGCGTATGAGAAAATTGTCAGAGGTGACTGTTGTCTACTCGCCCTCGCTTGCTGTGCACTCTGAACTGGCTTACATCAGTTTCATTAAGTGTGAACAGTTCTGAGTTGTGTTTAGGAAATAATAATAATAATAATGGATTGGATTTATACAGCGCTTTTCAAGGCACCCAAAGCGCTTTACAATGCCACTATTTATTCACACGCACTGGTGGAGGCAAGCTACGGTTGTAGCCACAGCTGCCCTGGGACAGACTGACAGAAGCGAGGCTGCCATCGGTCCTTCTGGCCAACACCAGCAGGAGGTAGGGTAAAGTGTCTTGCCCATGCAAGGACACAATGACCAGGACAGAGAGCCCAGGGATTGAACCGGCAACCTTCCGGTTACAGATACGCTTCCCAACCTCCTGAGCCACAGTCGCCCCGAAATGGCATCAATTCTTTTTTTAAGGTCAACAAGTACCATTGTTGCTTAGCCAACTTTGGTACGCATTTTCCCCAAGTCTTAGCATGTTTGTTTTCCCCAAGACTTAGTATGTTTTTCTTTCCTCAAGTCTCAGCATGTTTTTGTGAGGACTACCACGAAAAGTTTAATGTTATTAAAAAAAAAAAAAAAAAAAAAAAGGGCAGGGTTGTCTGGTTCTGTGGCGTATGAGCCAACATAACTCTGTGATGATTAAATGACAACAAATAACTGCAAAGTTGTTTTTATAAATACTTTTAATTACATTATACATGTTTGGACAGCTATTTTCAAGGGGTAACTATCTGCAGTACAGACTTTGATGGAGTGGAAATATTCTCACACTTTCAGTCCAAGCTTCTTCTCTTTTTTTTTACATGCTTGTATTTATTAGCCTCTTTAGTTGACACAGAGACATATGCAGTTTTCACCTTCACTTTTTCCATCCAAACTTCAGCTGAAAACGTGCTGTAATTGGTTTGCCTCAATGCTATGTTGTTCACTTGCACACAGATTTTCCATACGCATGCCTAATTATTTGTGAATATCTGACCTATAACAAACAGCTGTTGGCTGGCTGCTTAGTTCTGCCTCAGATGAGAGCAACCTCTTTGCCACAGTCGACATACAAATAAATAAACCGTTTATTTATCAGGCTTTTAAACAACATCGAGCTCGTTATACAGTCGTTAGGATGACTTGTGTCATGCATCAGTTTGAAATGTCATCTTGTGACCTTATTATCCCCCGTTGTTGTGATTAAACCTGTATTTGTGACTCTAAAAAAAAAAAAAAAAAAAAAAGGTCAACAAGTACCATTGTTGCTTAGCCAACTTTGGTACGCATTTTCCCCAAGTCTTAGCATGTTTTTGTGAGGACTACCACGAAAAGTTTAATGTTATTAAAATATTTTCTCATACATCTCCGGATAGAAGCAGTGGTGAAAAGTGACTTATTATCGGGGCGACCATGGTTCAGGAGGTTGGGAGGCTTATCTGTAACCGGAAGTGTCGAGAAAAACCTGTTATTTTACTGTCACTTTGTTATCATTTACATGCACTGTCATTATTTTATCATTATTTCATTAGTCTGCATCACTGATCATCAGTTTATCATCAGCATTATCATTGATCACTTAGTAGATCTGCTATTCCAGAATAAAACACATTCTAGATATAATACTATACTCTGTCATGCAAATAGCACCAGAGGAGCTGGAGGTCCAGGCGCTCCACAGCGAGTCAGATAAGGACAGTGGACTTTTGTTGGCCTGAACCCACAATTGCACAACATATCACACACTTGTTTGTCTCTAAAGTAGCAGCTGATGTCTATATAAGGAGAACTTTTTGGGTGTAGGGAACTGTGATCATTTCCAGTAAGATCTAACTGTGATGTCATCAGGGTTATATAAGGATGGGGAGTGGTCTGCTCGAAGAAGTCCGGCTCTTCCCACACTGTACTGTGTGTTATAATAAAAATAATCTGTGTTGACCCACTACTACCAGTCGTATGTCTCTTCCTCAAAATCCGAACCGCGACAGAAGGTTGCCAGTTTGATCCCTAGCTCTCTCTGTCCTGGTCGTTGTGTCCTTGGGCAAGACACTTTACCCTACCGCCTACTGGTGTTGGCCAGAAGCGCGATATTGGCAGCCTCGCTT